CTCTCGAATTTACTCTCGTGTAAGCGATTTACACTCGAGTAAAGTGTTGGTGAAACGCTCCAAGAAAACATGATTTACTCCAGAGTAAACTCTTACTCTGTTTGGTGAAACCTGTCCTAAGTCTTTTCACCAGAGCATGTCAACATACGCACACACGTTCCTCCCCACCGCGTGGGAGGGAAGGCGTGTGGGGCATAGGTCTTTCCATCAGTCGTACCAACAGCCTAGTCGTCCGTGGGCGTGGTCGAGCGGGGTTGCAGCGTGAGGCGCACGCCGTCGGCGGGCCGCAGCACCAGCTCCCCCAGCAGCTGCAGACGGGATGGCGGGTCCAGGGCGCGCAGGCGGAAGCGGCGCGCCACCGCCGACAGCACCGCCTTCTCCTCCAGCAGCGCGAACTTCTGCCCTGCAGCACAAGCACCATTTCAAGCTCACACAAGAGGATTTATTACCCCTACAGACCGGCTTCACGAAGTTCTTCGTGAGAAAACATTTATTCACTGATTAGTGTCTCCGTGTGCGTCGTCTGCTAAGTTCATTTGTCCTATAAGAGTAATGCATGCTTTTATCGCGAGAGGTAGTTGTGGTCTTTCCTCGCTAGATGGCGACGTCTTGCGCCAACCTACCCGTCCGGGTGTGGGGTTTTCCCCAACCGAGTATCTCCCAACCGCAGGACACCGCCCCAATCGGCTCTTAAGCTCCCGACTGGTCTCCCGGGCTGTGTGGTAGTGAAGTGCGAGTAAATTGTGGGTGGAAGCAAGGATGAGAAAGGAAAGATCGCGCGCGGTCCGTGGCCCGTTTGTTAGAATACTGCTCCGGCATTTGCCTGATATTGATCAGAGAAACCACGGAAAACTACTGATCAGAGCAACCGAGAATTCTCTTCGAGTCAGCGACTGACTTCGAACTAGCTGACAAGCTAGTGCAGAAAATCCTGTCTCGAGTACCTCCCGGTTAGACACTGCATTGACATCGTTTGATGCGCTGAGCCACCTAAGCCGGTTTTCCGATGGAGGTGAAGCGCGGTTTCGCAGACGATGCCATCCCAATTTTGACCCTCTGCGCGTGCGCGAACTGCAACGTTACGTCACTGCAGAAAAATCTAATCCGCTTGAATTTGTTGTGTAATCACGTGACATGCATCGTGCATGATAGATACCACGCGATCACATTAAAAGAAATTTATTTTCAATTGTATTCGCTGAGCGACTAGCAATTTTCCCAGAATTCAACATCATGTTGTTGGCACTGAACTGTATTTACGTACAATTATCACTGGAGGATCCAGTGTTGAGGGGGGGGGGGGCGTGGAGGCCATGGTCTCCCCCAAAAGGCCTAGAGTTTTCGTTTACCTTTATTTATTTGGTAAAATTTATCTATGTTCGAATTATGTAATTATTTTAACAATAGTATTGAATAGTATCATATCTACAGTACATAAATAATATAAAATGTACTAACAAATATTTTTATTATTTAACAAAAATCTAAGATGCCCCCCCAAATGATCGGCTGAAGCCTCGCTTGAAAATTATCTGTTTATACAAAATAAAAATAACAATACTCTCTATATGCAGGGGATCAGGGAGGAAACAAAGATACTTCAGCCGGTCCGGATGGCCGAGATTGCTATGGCAGTAGCGTCGTTAAAAGAAACTTCGAAAAGAAGAACTTAAGACAATTTTAAGCATATTTTGTCTAATAAACTCCTTCGATGTTTCGAATGCCTGAGCCGCAAAAGGTACTGAAAAGTTGTTTTGAAAAACACTTTCTATGCAAACATTTGCTTTTCAAAAACATTTAAAGACTCCAAAAACATGTAAATTGTTTATTATTTACAAAAGAAATGAATACACTTGTTCACAAACATTTACACAGAATTATAAAAAGCAATTTAATTGTGCAAATTGAGTGTTTTTTTATTGCTGTGTTAATTTTTCTTTTCGAACAAAAATATTAATCTCTATTTTTAATAATAAACAATTTATAGGATTCTGGCGAGTTTGTGTTTCTAAAATACACATTTTTGCAAACCAGAAAACTAGGAAGAATTTTTCAAACCACCTTTGGCGGCGCAGCTATTCAAAACCTCGAAGGAGTTTATGAGACAAAATATGCGTAAAATTGTTAAGAGCTTATTTTTGGTTTCGGCGTTTTCTCCCAGGACATTCTGTATAATTGTATATACAGATCATTTGTTGGTGAACAGTTCTAGCTGCACAAATGCGTATCGAGAGCAAGTGTGATGAAGCATTAAGGGAATTCTGAGTTAGTGGAATACACAGTTGTCAGTGTTCGTAGTTACTTCCATTTAGAACGAAAAGTTTAAAACCTTTTTTACACTTCAAACGATACAAGCCACCTTTATGCCATTACACCTCGGGGTAAGCTCCTGGCCGTTATCTTACTCTGAAGAGGTAGCACCATTAACGACGTGTCAGATCAGATACTCTCAAGACAACACCAAGAAGAATTACGCAAATCAGACCAACTTGACTCACTGCGTGATAAAAATATCTCAATGGGTTATCAAGGAAAGGAAAAGTGGAAGGAAAACAATCGAATCTCTCGATAAGTCCGATCATTTTTGTATACGAGGAATTGAAATAAATAAACAATGACACATTAATCTTGCATACAAATGCAACTAATCAAAAAGAAGGCTTCTGAGGAATTGCAATAATGATATATGCGGCGGCGATAGTGTAAAATGCGGCGGCGATGGTGTAACGGTTAGCGTACTGGACTGTTGTACCCAAGTTGGCGGGTTCAAACCCGACCGAAGCCGTGATTTTTAAGGGCGAAAAAATCCTTCGTACGCCTTCCTTCGGAGGGGAAGTAAACCCGGCTATCCCATGTTAGTACATTTACTACGCGGCGATGGTGTAACGGTTAGCGTACTGGACTGTTGTACACAAGTTGGTGGGTTCAAACCCGACCGAAGCCGTGGATTTTTAAGGGCGAAAAAATCCTTCGTACGCCTTCCTTCGGA